AAACATCCCTATTGAACAGGTATGTTTGTGCAATGCCGGAAGTTCTCAGTTAAAGTGAATCTACTATCAACTAGAGTTCTTTTTCGAAATCTTATTCTAGCATATTTTTACCTTTGAACGTTCTTCTCCAGAATAAGAAGCTCTACTTTATAAAACGTATTTGCTAACTTCTTGGAAGCTCTGAATATCTTTGCGAAATCGACTTCACGCAAACACCATTTTGTACTCTTTTCAAGAAACAATGCACATGATAAGAGCGTTCTTCAAAAGCCGCAGCTTCTGCTCTACACAGTGCTGCTCAAGTATAAAGCCAAAAAACCAGTAAACAGTTCATATTGCAAAGATTCGAGAAGCGATTATAATTATTATCACAGACAGCTGTTCAATCAAATTGAATAATTTGTCATTGGTCAGTTCAGAAGGAGATGCTTTTGCATAATGTAACGGCATTGCAGTATCGTAGCTATTAATAGCCAGCAGGTGCACTTTCTTCACCTTTCCGAAAATCACTGTTCGCATAAATCTGCCCATCAGGAGCTTTTTCGACAGCAGTCACCACTGTGAGATTGTTTGCTTTTTGCATGTTGTGGCCACGTGCAGATAATTCAGCTATATACTCCTAAATAACGACGATAAGTAAGTTCTCTAAATGGGCCAGGGAGTTACCTTTGGGAAGTTTGACTCATATTGAGTAACATTTGGGTAAAGTTGGTTATGGAGGCGAGGTGCATCAATAGCCTGTTTCACATTTGCTTTTAGCCAAAGATTGTGGAAAGCAACTCCAGCTACACCACTGATGATCGTGGAGCCACCAGCTCCGCCAACAGCCAAAACTTGTGCCTAAAATGTTTTCTAGAACTTTTCCACGAATCTTCTCACAACTGCACGCCTACCCCTTTCTTATCAGGATTTGTATCAAAGATGATAATGGGACTCTGACTGCTCATCGGCCTTTTTCCAGGTCGTATAAAGTTCGCAGGCGAGGGCGGAAATCCAAAAAAGTTGGGACGACCGGGTGAGGAAAAGTCATCCATCTCATCATTCCAAAGTATTCCTGTCGAAGGTGAAGTCACTGCTGCACCAAGGCTGGAAGTTATAATCGCTGCAATTGTTGATTACATCGAGCAATCTTTTTTGAATGTTCCGAAAGACCTATTTAGAATGTAAACCATTCTAAAAAATCATACATACATATTTAGCATTAAGTGAGAAAAGTTGCGGCTTTTTTGCATGTTAATTGGGTGATTACGTGAAGGAAAAGACAAATGGTAAGGAATGAGTGAAGCATGCAATGATTAATGAATGAGTGAGCAAAGGCGATACAAGGCTGAATGACTAAATGAACAATTCAACGAGTGCATAAATGATAGAGTTAAGGAAGACGACAAATTAATGGATGGATGACTGAATGAATGCAATGAAGGAATTAGTGAGTAAAACAATTGATTACATTATGAAATGAATAAATAATTAGACATGTCAGAGAGGGGGCCTTACGCGATGATTCCTTAGTACTATGTTAATTGAAACTTACTAAAGATTTATAGTTGAAGTGACCGCCACGGCATTTCCTTGGCTATCAATCACGGAGATGTGAGTCGTGCCATGATCTTGAGGGGGTGTCAGAAAAGAACCACCATAGTAATCATCCGAATGTGCTTCTTCAGTTATCAAAGACCTGAAACACTATCTCTCCTCTGGTTTGGTAAAAGTTTAGTCCTTCAGTTGCACGTGCCTCACCCATTCCGCCCATTCCTTGGTCGTTATATTGCGCGCTGTGTCAGTTGCATTGTGAACAAACGCTGGGTCCCCGAGCCAACTACGAGCAGCATATCTGAGTTTCATAACTATTTCTATCAGAACACGTTTGTGAGTAGAGTAACTCACGCGAACTTTGAGGATTCAATGAAATGATGGTAAAGAAGACTGATGTCATCAGCCTTCTTCATGTTGTATTTGTAGCTAAAACAAAATTTCATTACTTTCAAAAATTTACAAATACGTTGTGGGACCATTTTCTCTCACAATGTGGTGTTAATAATTCTGGGAAAAATGTTCAGAAAATAACTATCTTTTCATATATGATATTGTGCTCCTCAACATAACTTCTTCATTTTAGATACCCTAGCTTACGTTCAAAGCTGACTATAGTATTCTTGTTGTCAGCATTCGATATGACGCGTCGCAAGATTGAACAGTGAAAAGAGATGTGAAGAAGGAATGACGTCAAGGAAAGTAAAATTCTTTAGAGCATTATCAGATGTGCTATCGAAGCATCACTACAAACACTATTGCTCGCAAACTCTGTCATATCCGTGAGATCAGGTTTCAATAAAATGAAACAACAAGAAAGAGGTTTTCTTCAAACCACTTCACCCTTCTTTTCCCTTCCCTCTCCCCTATCCCACGGTTTTCATTGCTAGTCAACTTTGCGTTCCTCTTCTCCTTGTGATTTTTCGCTAAAACGTGATTTGCAGCTTTGAAAGTTTAGCACCTAGGGCATTCACCGACGGTGACCATAAAACATTTGTCCAGATGAGTACAACTACTCACCCATCCATAACACTCAAGATGGCCTGTGTTACTGCAGAAGCAGAAGGAGGTGGAGGACCACAGATTACTCGGCCGTTCCTAAGATTGGTGTAGATGACATCGGATGAAGGAACTACCAATGACTGATAGGAGGCAAAATCCTCTTTTGTCAAAATACCCCCTGCAAACATTTATTAATGACCCTGAGTCTCGAAAAAGTTGAATTTGATACCGTAACGCTGGAACTCCGAAGCCATTTCTTGAGCCATAGCACCTTTGTAAAACTCTTGTAAAGGATCTGTAGTGTTGGCTAACCGTCGAAGTGTATTCATTAATTTTGTTCTCAAATGACCAA